CAGTCTTATTGCTTACTGAAAACTAACTGGCATAGGGATTTTTTTAAAAAGATTTTATTTATTCATGAGAGACACGGAGATAGAGAGGCAGAGACATAGGTAGAGAGAGAAGCAGGCTCTACGCAGGGAGCCTGATGTGGGACTCGATCCCCGGACTCTAGGACCACGCACTGGGCCGAAGGGAGGCACTAAACCACTGAGCCATCCAGGGATCCCTGGCATAGGGATTTTATATGTCAATCCTGCTTCTTGGTTAATTTAAGTTCTTCCCTAGAGGAAAAAACCTCTATGTATTGGCAAAAGTAGATGTCTGAGCATTCAAAATGAATGTCCACAAGTCTACACTATGGCAAATTACTACAGTGAAAGCTTTTGGGGAGGCCTTTCCTGGTTACATCTGGACCTTGATTCATTTATTCATTCAGCAAATATTTAATAACTCCCACCAAATGGCCATCTTCATTCTAAGCTGTGACAATACAGCAGGAAATAGGACAGACAAGCTCTATCATCATGGAATCACATTCTCCTGGAGGTTAGCAGAGGGACAGATAATAAACATGTAAAAATGAGATAATTTCAGGTAGTGTCAAATGCTATAAATAAAATTAAGCATGATAAGAAATGATTAAAGTTGAGGGAGAGAGAATGAGAGCTCTTTAGACATATGATCAGGGTAAGGCTTCTCTGAGGGGTGAACATTTGAGCTAAGTCCTAAGTGATGAGAATTTTCTCAGTCAGGCATTAGAAAATCTGAGGGCGGGGATCCTGGTGGCTCAGCAGTTTAGCACCTGCCTTCAGGCCAGGGCGTGATCCTGGAGACCCGGAATTGAGTCCCACGTCAGGCTCCCTGCATGGAGCCTGCTTCTCCTTCTGCCTGTGTCCCTGCTTCTCTCTCTGTATCTGTCATGAATAAATAAATAAAATCTTAAAAAAGAAAATCTGAGAGAAGAGAATTCTGGGCCTAAAGAGGAGTAAATGCAAAATCTTTAAGATATGAATGAACTTGGAATATTCAAACAAAGAAAATTAGTATGGCTAAAGCATAATGAGCAAGGAAGGTGATATGAGAGCAACCAGAAGGTAGGTGTAGAATAGATCATATAAGCCATGATAAGGAGTATGGATTTTATTCTAATGCAAAAGAAAGACATTAGTGAAGTACAGGTAGCAAAGTGATAGAATCTGATTTATATTGTTAAATGGCTAATGTCAGGGATCCCTGGGTGGCGCAGCGGTTTGGCGCCTGCCTTTGGCCCAGGGCGCGATCCTGGAGACCCGGGATCGAATCCCACGTCAGGCTCCTGGTGCATGGAGCCTGCTTCTCCCTCTGCCTGTGTCTCTGCCTCTCTCTCTCTCTGTATGACTATCGTAAATAAATAAAAAAAAAAAAAAATGGCTAATGTCAGAGAACGAACTCTAAGAAGGCAAGAGTGGACAACAAGAGGCTGTTGTTGTGGTCCAAATCAGAACAACTGATAGCTTGTACAAGGATGGCAGCATAAGATCTGGTGAGACGTGGTTGGTCAGGTTTGGGATAATATTCTGGAGACAAGGTCAATAGGACTTGATGTTAAATTAGATGTTGGAGGCAAGAGGAAAAGAAGAATAAAAAATTGTGATCTGTTTGGTCTTCTCATCTGAAATTCCTACACCTGTTTGCTTTTAAAAATCAGTGTTCTGCTGGAGAATTTCCTTATAACCACAACAAAGTCAAAGCCAGTCAAAATCTCTGCTAGTGTGTGACAATATTTGAATTATCCACACCAATTTATTGTAGAGAATTCAAGAAGTTTATTTTGTGTTAAACTAAAGCTTTTAAGCTTCTGATATATATATATTTTTTGCAATCTAGAACATAGCTCATTTCTAAAGACCCAAGTGCTTACAGAACATAGGTTTGTGTCCCTTTAAAAAGTGTCATTTCCTTGAAATTTGTATGCCCAGAGCTTCCATTAGTTATCACTTCTTATTTTGCTTTATAATCTTATTTTCTCATATCATGGCTATGCTTCATATCATTGTTTTATGAATGTTAAAACTAAGGCTTAGCAGGTCAGGTAAATTATAGCACAGGAAGAAACAGAATGGCAAGCTTGATTCCCTTAGTCAACCCCCTACAAGTATTCATTCATGTTCTGTGAAACTCCAAAGACAGTATGTCTTAAAGAGCAATTCTTTTTCCCCTGAACTTAACTCGTCTGATGTTTTATATATTGTCCAGTGAAAGTCTCTTAGAAAATAACAGTTTGAAAACAAATTACACTTATTACTATGCACAAATATATAAGCTATATACAAAATATTATTAGAAAAAAAGCAAGCAGGATTGAATACAACTTCGTGGCTAAAAGAACTTAGAAAAATTCACAGTACACATTTATTGTGTTAATAGTCATAGCACTGTTAAGGACGGAGAATAATTAGGGGACTTTAGGGGTAAACCATACTCCTCTTCCTATCAAGTTGTGAACCAACTGAAAAACAGGCAAAAAAAAAAATAGACAGCTGAGAACTATCACTCTTACTGATAAAGCTGATGCTGGGAACAGGGCAGTACCAATGAGCCTCCCAACACTGAACCCTGGGACAAGGCATACATCCCACTGAGTCACTGACTAGCAGAGCAGGACAAGAGAGATTATCCCGTTCATCCACTTCAAAGATTTATCCCTGTAAGATCTTCAGTACAAAGAAACAAACCAGAAGGTATGATTCCTGCTGGCAGCCTCATTCCAAGATTAAGACTGGCCAAGGTGCTGAGCTTTTTCACCTGTTTCTCACCATCCAGCAAATCCTGCCAATGGGGAAGACACCAAGAGACCCAAGAGGCTAAGAGTGTTAACAGAATCCCCTGCAACTAGACCACACTCCCCACACAATTTTATTGTCTTAACTTAGTAGTCTCCAAACTGGAGTTAGTCTACCCTGGGATTCTACAAGTATTTTCCAAGGAGAACACATTTAATTTTTAGGAAATCAATTCCATTTATTCAACTTTTACCTACTCTTTCTTAAAACTGAGCTGCCTAAAATATGACTAAGGTTGAAATGTCATAACAATTCTATTTTTCCAATTCCAAAATCATTCTTTTCCCACTTACAAAAAACCAGCATCCTCTCACCCATCCCAGATCTTACAACGGCAAATGTTTCCATGTACAAAACCTCTCTGAGTCACCATACAAAGGAACAATTCTAATATTGATATCAATATTTAATTTAATCCAGGCATGATAAACCTATAGGAGGGTTTCCTGATTTTCCTTATCTTATATATACTTTTGTTAAGAGAGAAGCATGGTGCTTCATATTGGGTATTTGGTCTGTCTTGGTGTGTTCTGAGGTTTTCTTCCAAAGATTTTATTTATTTATTTATTTATTTATTTATTTATTTATTTATTTATTTATTTATTTATTTTATTTATTTTTTATTTTTTTATTATTTGAGAGAGGGAGAATGTGTGCGTAGGGGGAGGGCAGAGGAAGAGGGAGAGGCAGAGTTCCAGGCCGACTCCACACTGAGCCCGACATTGGGCTTGATCTCACAACCCTGAGATCATGACCTAAGCTGAAATCAAGAGTCAGATGCTAAACCCATTGGAGCCACCCAAGCACTACTGGAGTGTTCTGAGTTTATTCTACGTTGTAGAGTGGGATGGCAGGAGTTATGATTATGTCCAATGCCATTGCCTCTTCCATTGCCTGATAATGCCAAAGAAGACTGTTGAGATAGCAAAAAAGAAATACTGAAGGAGATTGAGCCCTACTTCAACTGGATCCCAAACTCACAGCAAGATTTCATATATCTATCTCAGAATTCAAATACGGATGATTTGTGGAAAACATTCTGGGAAATACCAGTCAGCTACAAGGTATACCTGCTCAGTAATGAGAAAGAACTTGATGTAAAGTCTCATTCTGTGTTTCAGCTACGTATTTCAAATGATTTCAAGGAGAAGAATATCAAAAAATTCCAAATTTCTATCAACAGATAAATGTTAACATGTAAAAGAAACACATATCAAAGGTTAAGTCAATGTATTTTCTTGAGCACTGATAGACTCACAGAAGAAAATATTTTCATTAATTTTCACCTAACAATTATTGAATACAGTAAATCTATATTGATTTACTCACAGTACTACTCATCATCACTTGTTAATCATCTCACCTCATTATTCATTGCTATCTTTTATGTAGATTTAGACATATAATTTTCTATTGTAAATAATGCATTTAACAATAATTATTTAGTCATTTTTGATAACTCCTGTACCTAATAGTTCTATTCTGTCCTTTCCTAATCTGTCTCCTAGGAAAAAATTACATTCATGAACTAATTGGGGAGCTCTAACCATTTCGTTCAGAGACATATTTCCAATAAAATTTTAGTTCTCTTTCGTAATGATGTATAAAAATTTATAATGTAGTTATGATCAATTATGTACACTAATGATTGTAATAATAATTCAATCCAAAAGAAGTTTTTGACAGAATCTTTTGATCATAGAAACCTGTTTAAATTATAAACAGATTTTTATTGCAGAAAAGAATGATAAAATAAGCAATAAAATATATTTAAATGTAAAATACATTTTTAAAACTTTTATGGAAAAATAGAATGAAAATACAAACTCAAAGAGAAAAAATAATGTAAATTTCTGTAAAAAAATTAATGATGATAAATATCCAATTTCTATGGAATTTAATTTCATTAAATGCATTTTAACCCTTTGCATTTTAAAATATTCATATTTACTTTAACCAGAAATTACATCTTTTGCAACTAAATTTAGGCCAAAAACATTTTACATATCAACCTAAAAATTATTTGGGGGGTATGTCAGCAAAATGTATGAAGACCACTGCCTTAACCCTTTAAGCTTACCCACCACTGAGATCAACTTGGAATAGTTATCCTCCTTGGATAAGAAGTCAGCAGTCAGGGCAGTCCTGTTCCCACCTTCATAAGATCACTTTTCCAATACAAAGTTCACCTCTTTTGTGGGATCTCCTGGGGTCACTGGTAAAGTGTAGATTTTTGTTCCCAGAATACCCTGAATGGGTCAGAACAACATATCATAAATTAGTTCCAATGTTAATCTGTACCCAAGGTTATAATTGACAACCTGTTCTATTGCTATCTCAAATTATGGCCCCCTACCTTTTTCAACATTATAGAGGTTCTAAGAGAAAATCAAGTGATAATATAAAAATACTGAAACTAAAAACCAAAAAGATGTGCTCAATTTGATTTTGACCCTCCCCAATATGAATTTTCCAGGGAGAAATGAAAAGCTCAGCCGTTAAATTATCTTGTTCTTCTAAGTTACAACCCAAAGTAATCGGGTTTTAACTTCCTGTTAAATCTAAAATTATTAATGTCCAACACTAAACCTTCATGTGCTTATGAATTAAAGTTCAAACAACAGGTTTTGACACTCCCTGGCAATGAACTTAGCTCCCAAAACTGAAGCTCTCCTTCCCCCAAAGGGCTTATCTTGTTAAGGTTACCCCAAATATCCCCTGACATGGGCAGGCCCCTGGGAAACTTCTGGTATGAAGCAGCAGAGTAGAAAGCACACTTTCTGTGGGAGTCCTGACTTCCATGGGAAAGGGGAGAGGAAGATATTTGGCACATGCCAAACTTACACATCAGGAAACTTGCTAGTAGCACTGGAATAGAGTTTTGAGAGTATGATAGTGACACTCACTCCATACTTCAAGAAATATCTGATGTGGGAAAGAAGTATTTTCCTCTAAATAAATAGAACAGATTTACAAGACACAGGTTCTTGGGGCGCCTGGGTGGCTCAGTCCATTGGGTTTTGGCTCAGGTCATGATCCTGGTCTTGGGATGGAGAACCACATTGGGCTCCCTGCTCAGTGGGGAAGCTGTTTCTCCCTCTCCCTCTGCCCCACCCCCTCCGCTCGTGCTCTGTCTCTCAATCTCTCTCTCAGATAAATAAATAAAATCTTTAAAAAAAAAAAAAAAGGAAAGAAACAGGCTCTCTTAAGAAATATTTATTGAGCGCAAATTTCTGAGCTAAATTTGCTGGAAAATTCATAAGTGAATCAGAAGTGGATGCTGCCTAACAACCAACCACTAACATCTGTAACATATATGTCAATGCCACATATTTTAGGCTTTTGCTGCAGCAATGCTCTACTTCCAGTACCAATTTTTGTATTACTATAGATTAGGCTTTGTTTGCTAGCAAACATCTCCAAATATCTCAGTGGTTTAGAACAGCAGAGATGTATTTCTCATTCATACAACTGTGTATGTTAGCTGAAGGCTCTTTTCCACTTTGCTCAGTGCTAGCACCCTCATTGACAGAAGCAGCCACCATTTGAAATATTGTTGGGGTGACAAATTAAAGAAGACCACAAATTCTTTGTCACTCTTCTCTCCAATCTCCATCAAGAGGTGAAGTTTATTTATCCTCCCTTTGAAATTGAACTGGCCCTGTGACTGCTTTAGCCAATAAAATGTGTTATTTCTAGGCCTAAGACTTACAAGACCTGGAAGCTTTTGCACTTCTGAGAGTCCTGAACCACCATGTAAGAAATCCGGTTACTCTACATGGCTGGGGAAGCCATGTCAAACCAGGCCCTATAAATACTTACTGGGGTGCTTTGCTATGCAGTAATAGATAACTAAAACATTCCCTTATTGTGCCAAAAGGAAAGAGGGTATGAGAAATTGTGCATTCTTAAAGCTTTTACTTGAAAGTGACACAAACCACTTCCAATCACATTTTACTGGCCACATCGAATTTAAAAGTATAGGGAAATTCAAGTCTACTATGTATGCAGAAAAAGAAATGGAATATTTGGTGGCTAGTACTATAATCTACCAGAGAAAGGTCAGGGCTGGAAAGGTACATCCTCCATAGAGATGACAAGTAAATCACTAAGTGGATAAAATGTCAAGAAAAAAAGAGCAAAAAAAAGAGAAGAAAAGAACATAGAGAATGGCAGATGCTTACAGATGACCTCTTGGCAAGGTAGAGATAGATATAAGGAGGAAAAGGAAGGTGGAAAGACTCAGAAAAGAAACATCTACAGAGGCAAAAGGAGGCATCTAGGGATCCAAAGAATTTCAAGAACAGTCAAGAACATAAAATATAATGGATGGTATAGGAAGGAATTTGTAGAAATTCAGAGAAAGAGATCAATGTGAGATGATACAGTCACAGGCCTGGAACAGAGAAGGAAATTAAAGACAATAGAACTTGGATGGTTGAAAAGGGAAAAAGAAGGGTGCTCTCAGAGTAAATAGAAAGAGTAAAGTCTTGGAATGGGTAATAACTTCAGCAATTTGGAGGACAGAGACTAGGTATTGTAATGGGAAATAGATCAACACAATAAAAGTTATGTGTAAAGTAGATTAGGTGGGATGCCCAGGTGGCTCAGTGGTTGAGCATGTGCCTTTGGCTCAGGTCATGATCTCGGAGATCCAGGATCAAGTCCCACATCGGGCTCCCTGCATGAAGCCTGCTTCTCCCTCTGCCTGTGTCTCTGCCTCTCAAAATAAAATAAAATAAAATAAAATAAAATAAAATAAAATAAAATAAATAAAATAAAATAATAAAATAAAAATAAAATAAAATAAAATAAAATAAATAAAATAAATAAAATAAAATAAATAAAATAAAAAATAAAATTAAATTAAAATAAAATAAAATAAAAAATAAAATAATAAAATAATATAAAATAAAATAAAAAATAAAATAAAAAATAAAATAAAATAGAGTAGGTTAGGTTTGCTATAGAGGGGGAAGGCAGGGAAGCCATTTGTGGATTTATAGAGAACTTTGAGTGCCAACTGAGATTTCTGAGTTGTTTCCTTTAAATAGCTGAGCACCACTGGAGATAGGGTGCCTGAGTAAAGGAAATCAGTATACAGGGTAGTCCCTTCATGTGGAATAAAGAAGGAAAAGACAGAGCAAGCCATCAGTCAGAAAGTTATTACAGTATTCAAAGAAAGAGTATCCTACTGGGAGAGACTGTTATCTGGGGTGGGGGTGGGGGTACGACACTCTTCTAGACCAGTTCAGGAGCCTTAGAAGAAGTTGCTCAGAGAACTAAAAAAAAGGGGAGGGGGGGTTTCAAGTGTAGAAAAGTTGAGATATTTATTTTATCAAGGATATAAAAGAAAATGTTTAACTTTTCACTTCTGTGGCAGACAACATTGGTCACCTACTCAACATTCTCCATCCTATTGTTTTGACAACGGAACTTCAATACTGCTCTCAATTCCTCCCTTCTCTCCAAATCAATCAGGGAAAAGAAACCTACACATACATAATTGAGCTCCAAGGTGAAACCTGATTGGCTTACGCGAACTGGTTTAACCACTCAACTAGCATCATCTTTCTAGGGAGTGTGTGGGATGGGAAGAGAGTTGGTTTGTTTGGTGCCCCAATACCAGGAGTGTACTACTGACATTTAGTGGGACGAGACCAGAGATGCTAAGTGTCCAGCAACGCATGTCACAATCTTTCATAAAAACTGCCAAAAGCTACATAAACACTGACCAGTCATGGTAGTCCCAAGCTCCTTGTCAGTTACCGTTTCAGGGAATAGTCAGACCCAGTTCTGGTCAGTAACACAGACGGAGTAGCCTGCTATGAAGCCTCTGGGGTAGTTTCTTCCCGCCGTTGATGTCATCCCAACTGTATAACACCTGGTACTGCTACAAGCATCCATCTTCTCCCCAAAAGCAGTATCTTCCCAAGTATCCTGTTTCCATCATTGGCATTTCCTGTTACCAAGTCCTAAAGCAGTTTTGGCTTCTAACCATTAACCTCAGGATGACTCCGATTTGTCTGGAACAATCTAACTTTAATCCTGTTCTCCCAGTGTATAGTGCCCCCTTCCAGTTCCAAAAGTATTCTAGATTGGAGGCTAGATTATACATGGTCACTTAATTTTCCCCAATAAAATGCTGTTCCCTCTGCCTCAAGAATGTACCTTTATAGCAGGGGTGAGCAAACTATGCCCTGTAGACTATTTTTATACCTCTAGAGATGAGTGCTCGCTTCGGCAGCACATATACTATACCTCTAGAGATGAAAAAAAATGATTTTTACATGTTTAAATGCTTGAAAAAAATCAGTATTTCATGACACCTAAAATTTCAGTGTCCAGGGGATCTCTGGGTGGCTCAGCGGTTTAGCACCTGCCTTCCGCCCAGGGCGTGATCCTGGAGTCTCTGGCGTGAGTCCCACATTGGGCTCCCTGCATGGAGCCTGTTTCTCCCTCTGCCTGTGTCTCTGCCTCTCTCTCTCTGTCTCTCATGAACAAATAAATAAAAAAATTAAAAAATTTTTCAGTGTCCATAAATAAAGTTTTATTGGAACACAGCCATGCTTATTTCTTTAAGTATCTTCTATGGTTGCTTTCTTATTATAAAGTAGTTGAATAATTATAAAAGATAGTGCCTAATATGTCAACGTTTGGCCCTTTATAGAAAAGCTTACAGACCCCCGCTCTAAGCCACTTAGTTCTAAGTTTCCTCCTTTCTTGCACAAATACTACACGCAGCATACTAACTTGTTTTCCATTCTTTTCTCACTCCGACCCTTAATACACTTGGGAGATAATCTCTCTAGAGAAGTTTTGAGCCTGTCATTTGCCACTGTAAAATCTTCAGTGGCGGGATCCCAGGGTGGCTCAGCGGTTTGGCGCCTGCCTTCGGCCTGGGTTGTTATTCTGGAGACACTGGATCGAATCCCGCATCAGGCTCCCTGTGTGGAGCCTGCTTCTCCCTTTGCCTGTGTCTCTGCCTCTGTCTCTCATGAATAAATGAATAAAAAAAAAATTAAAACTTCGGTGGCTCCTCCAAAACGGATAGTGTAAAGGCCACGCCTATCCTTTGACTAAAGACTACCAACCTAGTTCTCCAGACTCTGCTCCTCTTTAACAGCTTAAAGCCGAAATGGGCCACTTGCCATTTCCCTAATAAGTACCTCAGCTCATATCACATGCCCCTATTGCTTGCCTAGGTCTTTCCTCCATGGCACTGGTTCCTCAAGATTAAACCCAAACTGGGGGATCCCTGGGTGGCTCAGCGGTTCAGCGCCTGCCTTCCGCCCAGGCGTGACCCTGAGGACCCGGGATCGAGTCCCGCGTCGGACTGCCTGAGTGGAGCCTGCTTCTCCCTCTGCTTGTGTATCTGCCCCTCTCTGTGTGTATCTCATGAATAAATAAATAAAATCTTAAAAAAAAAATAAAACAAAACAGCCATCATCTAGGAACCTCGGTGGCTCAGGGTTGAGCATCTGCCTTCTGCTCAGGGCGTGACCCTGGAGTCCCGGCATTGAGTCTCACCTCCGGCTCCCTGCATGGAGCCTGCTTCTCCCACTGCCTGTGTGTCTGCTTCTCTCTGGGTCTCTCAAGAATAAATAAATAAAATCTTTAAAAAAAAAAAAAAGATTAGACCCAAAGTGTTACTCCCTTAACACACCTTCATTCTTTCAGCACACCGGTAGTCCACAGCTGGCCGTTCTTGGGGTGGTTGTGTGGGAACCCACGGACACCCCAAAACAGACCAGGGCAGGAAAGCCCAAGTCCAGTGAGATGAGCGCCTGAGGTAAGGGGCCCAGAACAAGGCTTCAGAGGGGAGACATCTACGTCAGGTTTTTTTTTTTTTTTTTTTTTTTATGACAGTCACAGAGAGAGAGAGAGAGAGAGAGAGGCAGAGACACAGGCAGAGGGAGAAGCAGGCTCCATGCACCGGGAGCCCGACGTGGGATTCGATCCCGGGTCTCCAGGATCGCGCCCTGGGCCAAAGGCAGGCGCCAAACCGCTGCGCCACCCAGGGATCCCGTCAGGTTTTTTTTTGTTGTTGTTGTTGTTGTTGTTGTTTTGTTTTTTTTTTTAAGGACTTGGGAGCCTAAAAGACTACGAAGGACCTAAGGAGATAAAAGAAATCGTGAGTTAAAGCTGAAAGAGGGAGCAGAAGGACCGCCTCATTCTATCCACTTCCCTACCGCCACGGACTATTCATTCAAGGAACAGCACCTTCAGCGTAAAACCTGAAAGCGAATTCTGCGGGAGCGGCCTCGGCCAAGACCACCGGCGGCGGCGGCTCGGTGCCGGCGCAGACAGCAAGCAGGCTCCGGACGCCCAGCGGCGCTCCTCCTGCGCCAGGAGGGCTCCAGCCCGTCGCCAACACCTCCGGGCGGCAGCTCTGTCTGCGCGCCCACGCTCCTGGCCTCCAGACAGGCGCGACGGCGCCCGGGGGGGGACAAAAAAGAGACGCCCCTCAACAGTTTGCGCCAGTAATGAAAACTGGGTCGCGGCCTCCCGCAAGCCGCCAACCTGCGCCCTCGAAAAGGCGACCCCACGAGACTGAGACTCCGCCTCCGCGGCCGCCCCGGCGCACGTGAAGCCCCCGTGCCGAGCCCCCGCGCCGAGGCGGGAGTCCGCGGACGCGAACCCAGGCCTGGGAAGGGAAGCGATTCCGGGGCGCACGCGCGGAGAGCGGAGGGAACCAACCGGGCGGGGCCGGCCCCCCCGGAGGAGGCGCAGGGGAAAGGAGAGCGCGTGGCGCCCCGGAACCCGCGCACGCGCCGTAGTGTCCCCCCGCCTATGCGCGCGCGCGCGCGGCCGGCGCTGCATCTTTTCTTCAGGCCGGCCCCTCCCGGTCTCGTACTTCTGCCAGCCGAGGCGCTGAGCGAAAGCAGGGAAGTGTGGGGCGAGGTGGGCGGGGCGTCGCACGCGAGCGCGGCCTGCTCAAGAAGGGAGGGGGAGGGAGCGATCAAGACAACGTTACCCCTTCAACACCCAATGGCGAGCAGGCTTGGCCCCGCCCCCTCCCCTCCTGTCATTGGCTGGGAGGCCCCCAGAGGGGCGGGGCCGGCCGTGGGGTTGGGGAGGGCAGGGGGCGGGGAGGAGGAGGAAGGCGCTGGCGGGCAGTGATGGCGGCGGGTGATGGGGACGTGAAGCTAGGCACCCTGGGGAGTGGCAGCGAGAGCAGCAGCGACGGCAGCAGCGAGAGCCCCAGCGGCGTGGGAGCGGCAGCAGAAGGGGGCGGCTGGGCGGCAGCAGCGTTGGCGCTTCTGACGGGGGGCGGGGAGATGCTGCTGAACGTGGCGCTGGTGGCGCTGGTGCTGCTGGGGGCCTACCGGCTGTGGGTGCGCTGGGGGCGGCGGGGTCTGGGCACCGGGGCCGGCGCGGGCGAGGAGAGCCCCGCTGCCTCGCTGCCTCGCATGAAGAAGCGGGACTTCAGCTTGGAGCAGCTGCGACAGTACGACGGCTCCCGCACCCCGCGCATCCTGCTCGCGGTCAATGGGAAAGTCTTCGACGTGACCAAAGGCAGCAAGTTCTACGGCCCGGGTGAGGAGGAGTTGGAAGGGGAGGGGGAGGACCTCCTGCAGCTCCTGTGCGACCCCGCACCCCACCCCCCGCGAGACGGCGAGGCCCCCGGGCGCCGGGCTAGTTCGCCCAGCCTTCCCGACGTCTGGAACCCTGCGCCTTGGCTCCTGCACCTGGGACGGCCCGCCCCCCACACACCCGCAGCTCCGGGCGCCTGCAGGTCCCCCCCCCCCCCGCCGCCCCAAGTGCAGGTTTCAGTGTCGCCCCAGGAACCGGCTCTCAGCTCTCCTCTTTCTCCCATCCCGTTCCTCCACGAAGCTTTTTCTTCTGCCGATTTTTTTTTTTTTTTTCAGAATCTTCCCAGTTGTCGCCCGTCACGCTAGCCCACTACCTTTCTTGAGCTTTTTGATTCCTGGGATGGGTGGGGGCAGGAGGGACGGGAGATGCCTAATGTAGGGACCCAAAGTTTGTAGGCCAGGTAATTCACAGCTCTCCTTTCTTTACTCTTTTATCACTGATCTCCCTTTTCTCTCTACTATTCCCCATAAGGCCACGTTTAGGTACACGTACTTCCAAGCCCCCACCGTTTAGCTTGTGAAGTCTGAGCATGTAAGCAACACCTCAGACTTTTTTTTTTTAAACCAGTTTTAGTATGGAGATGCTTTCCAAGATTAACATTGTATGTAGGATGAGGACAGACCAGAATGTAGATCTTAATAAAGACTGGCAAGGATAGTCTCCCTGAGTTTTGGAGGTGGAGCTCAAATACCCAGCAGGCGGGCCTGTCTGGTTTCTTTTTACTTTTTTTTTTTTTTTTTTGATAGTAGGAAGGCAAGTATTCAAATACACGTTGATAATGACTTGTGTTTTCACTGAGCAGCAAAAACCTAAAAGAGCTACATAAATCCATACCCCAGTGCACCAGTTTTGCAAGTTAGAGATTTTTAGAACTTTGCTTTCCGAGAACCGTGTGTGCAGGGTAGTTGGGTTAGAAACCCTTCCTTTGCAATGTAGTTAGTTACAGCATACATTTCAGATTATGCTAATAAACTTCAGTTCAGGCTCATGGAACCTGTCGGTATACAATAAAATTGAGCAACATTGTACACCCTGGTTATGTAGTAATTAATCCTAAACTTAAAAAAAAAGTGACTACAATAAAAAATACATAATAAAATTAGGGACCTAGAGTGACCTGTTATTCTAAAGAATACATCCAAGCCTCAAATTCTAGGGGGTTGACAAGTCCCAAAAAGAAGTTGGTTTCTTCTTGATGTAATCTGTTAGTCCATGAGATTCACTGGCACTTAGAAATACGAACTTCTGATTTCAGCGCTTGGTGGCTGGAATATATTTTGGAAGTGCTTTGGTTTGCTGTTAAATGGAATAGAGATAAATTGTAGATTTTTATGTGTTGGACTATTTAATTTTTAGTTGCTTGTATTTTTGTGTGTAGATCCACATTCCGTTTAACCAAGTCTTAGATAATGCTTCTGGTTGTTTAAAATTGAAAAGCAGATGTCTACTTACTTAATTCAGCCGAAAGAGTTAATACTTTTTGTTTACTTGAAAGTATATGGGACAAGAGAATAGGGCCAAACTACAGTAATTAAATGGACAGACCTATTTAAATAGCTAATTTTTGTAAATCAAGGATTTGAACAGTATTTGGTACCTGAAGTTTCTTTCTCATTGAAAATAAAATGTATATGCAGTAATTCGAAACTGTGTATAGGTTTAGATTTTCAATATTGAGCTTGCCCAACTAAAAGATTTGCTTTTGCAGCCCCTATCTACACTGACAGTGAAACAAACAAAGTATTAGTGCAAAGAAGCATATTAGTCCTTGCGCTTTATGCCTTGCCACTATCTGCAAATAGCTAGGAAAGGCTGTCCTACTCACAGTTTAGCAGCCTCCAGTGGCGAATGTTCTGCAATAGAAATTAAAAATTAAGAGTCATAGATGTGATGTGGATAGCCTTTGTGTGGCTTAAGCATTGAGCAAGCTCCTCAGATAATAAGGGAGAAGTCAGTTTTAGGTTGGCTTCCATTAATTCCCATGTCCTGATGAACAGCCAAAGGGTAATTACTATTTTCTAAGTATTTATTGATCAACCTAGTAGAGATGTTTGGATGTTATATTATTGAAAGGAGCCCTGAAAGGAGCCAGATTATCCATGGGCTTGGAATATGTTGATATTTCACATTAATAGAAGATGTAACAGTTTTTCCAAAAGTCTTGAAGCCAATTTCTGGCTATGAAATAGATATAAGTTCAGTTTGGGTTTTCATTTTTATTTTCATCCTCAGGTCAACTGAGCACTTCGTAATAGAATAATTCAGAAGCAATGATCTTAGCCTGACAATCTCAGTAGCTTGAAAGAATGATCTGAGAAGCAGAAAACCTTATTCTATGCCTAGCCAATATCTACATTTCACAGTGTTGGTTTTAGAGTTAATAATTATTTTGTGGGTTTTTCTGTGTCGAAGATACTGTTTTTTTAGTCATTTCTAAAGTTCAGGTCTTAAAAAATTAAATATTGACAATTTAGTGGAGTAAACACATGTTGGCAAACAGTTGGCATTAACTACATTTGTCAGCATTAAATTTAGTAACAGTTCAGGCACTTGGCCAGCATGTGAGGAAAGTGGTCATGTAAGAAACAATGAATATGGGAGGAGAAAGGAAATAAGATTTGTTAAGCACCTACTACATCAGATCCATTAATTTGTCATCTCCACAATGCCTCAGTGAGGCTAATAAGTATTCCTGCCCTCGGAGTCTGAGGTTTAAGTATTTTGGGTAAACTGGCTTGAGTCATACAGACGTGGCTCTCAAGTCCAGATGTAGTTAACCAAAAAGCCTATCTGTACTTCAGGTAAACTATGTTCTGGGATAAATTTGTAGAGAATCTTACTGTTATTTTTATACCCTCTCCTGGTTCCCATAAGGATTTAAAGCCTCAAACACACTTTCATGGATATATGTTGTGCTGTCCAGTATGGTAGCCACAAGCTACATGTGGCTTTTTAAGTTTAAGTTAAATTAAAATTAATATATTTAAAATTGAGTCCCTCCATCACACTAGCCCCATTTCCACTACTCAGTAGCCACACAGCTACCATATTAGTGTACCTTATAGAGTATTTCCATCCTCCCAAAGAGTTCTATTGAACAGCATTGATTCTAGAGGTCAAGGTAGAAGGAGGAGGAAACTCCATTTAGTCAACTTATTATCTCATTTAACTTTCAAACAGCCCTTGGAGATATGTTCCTATTTTACAGATGTGGAAACTGAAACTCATGGAGGCTTTGCTCAAAATCACATACTTAGTGGCAAAGCTAGAAATCAAACAGTCTGACGTCTTCACAGGCCATCCCTTCTCATTATATCACAACAAAATATAATTTTATACACTTCTAGAGTCAAAATAGAGTAGGAAGACTGGAAGATAGTATAATTTTAAGTAACTTGATTTAACATTACTACAATGAAATTCTACCAAAGTAGTGTTTTTATTTATTCTTTAGAATGGCAAGAAATTTGACCTTTCTAATAGTTTATCCTGCATTTCTGAAATTTAAATATATTACTTCCCCCTTATTCCATGTAGCATTTTCTTTGACACAGATCAAAGCTGTATTTTCTCCAACTTACCTTTTAAATTCCATTGGAAAAGAAAAAGTCACATATAAAAGAGGTACTCCATGAGATGCCTTATATTTAGGAAGATGGAGAAAGGAGCACATGTACCTTTCAAATGTTTTTCCTCCTTTTTAAAATTTTATCTTCAATATGTTAACTTTTATTTATATAGTTTGCAAAATTGCAATTAAAGCAAGAGTTGCAACATATAGATTAGGCCCAGCCTGACCTCTTCCTTCATGGATATCCTACTGGCACTACTGAGCTCTCATCCCAGCTTTAAAGCCAGCCAGCTGGGTCTGTTTGAGCTAATGGCCATACACATCCCTACCTTTCAGGAAAATAAAAGGATCAGCTAGGTTTTCTGATAAGTTTTGATATTCTGCTCACATTTATACTAGTTATTTCTACAATACCTACTCTGAGTTCAGCATCATTCCATATATGCTTAATCTTTGGGGGAATTGTATTTGTGTTAAATACTAATGCTGAGTATTAAAGGATACCTGAAAGCATATATGAGACCAGAATATGTTATTCATCCTGGAAGAAAATAGATTTAGTAACATCTGGAGGTAGCTATTCGAATTCTTTTAATAATTCTTTGAACAGTCTGTGACAGAGACTGCTCCTTTTCTCTGTACCTGTAACAAACAT